GACAGGTTAATGACCAGAGAACTTTGGCTCTTTGTTCATGAAGACTGACAGCTGATAATTTTGTAGGAAAATAATGTGGCAATAAGGGAATGAGTGATAATTAGATAGTCTCCTAAAGAGTTATTAATTTTCTGCTGAATCTTTAGAATGCTTTCAACTTCCATAATTACTCATATGGAAAGAAGCAAGGAATGAATGTTTCTCTGTTGGGAAAAGGGGGGGGGTGTTACTGGTCACAATCCTACTCTCAACCCACTAACCTATATTGCAAAGTGGTTTCTTTTTGTCAACAATGTTAAAAGAGGAAAAATCAATGTACTTGTTCAAAAGGCTTGCTTAAGGAGAGAAAAGTCATATCTCGTTCAATCTTGCGGTTTACCAAAAGGCTTTAAAATGCTTAAATTACAGTAGCTTTTCTTTCATTTTATTGTATTTCAAAATAAAACAGAGTTGTAAATGATGATTTTCCAATGACATCTGATACTTGACAGTGCATTTATTTTATTTTCTTAATCATTTTGTAGGTGAACAATCGTGAAAGGGGAGAAAATGACTTGGATGACTTTTCTTTCGCAGCTTTTTTACATCCTGTGAAAATATGCAGATAATCTTTCATTTCTATCAATCTTGTTATTTCTTCATCATCCAAAAGAAAGAAATGAGTAAGGCATAGAAAATACATAAATCAGATAACAAGTCTTTTGAGAGAAATGAAATATGAATTTTTATTCCACGCTGATTACTTTCATATTGCAGGAGTTATAGGAATTTAAGATTAATGAAATGCAGTGTATTGAAATACTAGAAGCTAGATAAGAACAATTTCTTAAAAGAAAAAAAAAAGAACTTCCTATCTGTCTCGGATTTTCCATAGCTGCTGACACTAAGATGCAACTAATCCTTCAACATGGGTCCTTATCAAAATATGAAGTATATGATGATGATAGATCAAACAGACTCCATTGACAAGAATACCACCAAGTTCATGGAGGGAGAACCTGGCAGACTAGCCTTTGTCCCAGGTTTGGTGACTTTAAAGGCATACATGACTTCAGTGTTACAACTAAAAGATTTCATAGTCATTTCGATTATCAAGGTTCAAGTTTCGCAACTGTTTTGTCATTTTCCAGACTCATGGGTCCAAGAGAATTTTTTTTTCATTGCATTTTCTTAGAGGTGAAGGGTTTATCGTAAATGACATATGTTTTGTAGAAGGATGTATTGTACGTTGAAATATACATATCTGATGAGGAAACGAAATTGATATTGTTGATATAATATCAACTGCCTTTTATTAAAAAAAAATTCAAATACAAAGCAAAGAATAGGCACAGCCTGTATGCTAGATAAAATTTGTGATTTGTATAACAAACTTTAAGGTGTTGACGGAAATGAATATGAAATTCTATAGGAAAATAGATTTCATCTGCGATATTTAAGTCAGCCACACATAAAGAATAATAACCTAAGTTCTTGTGATGTTAAAGAAACCAGAAGTCTGTGCTCTGCATGTCGGGACTAAAAATTAATCAAAGATGTTCATGTGAAATTTCTTTTCTTTTCTCTCCATATCTACTGTGATATTTAACCTTTAGTTTATAGTCTCATCCAAAGAAATGGAACAGTAGTATGAGTAAGAATATATAATTTGACAGATTATCCTATCTTATGTATCTGAACAAGAACACCTTCCATTGATAAAGAAAATTATTTTTTACCACCATTATTGAATAATAGGGTCAGAGGGATTTTTTTAGGGTCTCTCAGCCCCATTCCCAATGCTGAAAAGTGCATGTTTTTCCCAAAATTACACCTAAAAATTCCCAATATGAAAAAAAAGTAAGTTACCGGGTATCTACATGTGTAAGAAAATCATTTTGAAATTTTGTTTCCAAGCTGAGCAAACATTATGGATCCTAAATGTTAATTCATACACTCATTTAGTCTTCTTACTGCGATTAAAGCTTTTTAAAAGAATTAATTACTAAACTAAAATTATTAAGTAATTCAAGAATTTCTCTGCAATGCTAGTTTATTATTACTTTTTTTTGTTTTTAATGTTTATTTTTTTGAGATTTTAAGTGATTGCATGCGGTACAAATTCTTCTTGTCTAGTAGTTTTGTATTAGATTGTTAGTTAGTGCATAAAGAAAGGAGTTTAAATTTCTGTACTATAATTGCCTGTACCTCTTAAATGTTTTGTGCATGTATCAATGCAGAAATATTCACAGTAAGAAAAAACTGAAGATTTTTTTTTGCATCCCTCTTTGGTTTTCAAGCAGGTCAATACTCTCTTAGCCAAGCTTTTGTTCTTAAAACTCCTTGGATCTACAATGAATTATTTTAAGTACTCAAAACACCATCTGCTTCAATTATGTTATGATATTTTAAAAAGCTTTTCTTGGAATGCATGCTTGTCAGTATTGATCCTAAGCATCAAGTGCATCAAAACAGACATGCAGGATCAGCCTCATTATATCACTGTTAATTGATGGTATCTGACACTACAAGTCATTTAATGCATATCCAGCCTTCATCAGCTAAGTGCTCAGATCTATGTGGCAGCAGAGTTCAGACTAGAAATTGCATGCCTCTAAATGCTGTCTGTACAGGGAATATCTTTTAATATGACTGGAGGGGGGTTGGGGTGGAATTCATGAAATGAAGGGAAGCATGGCTGCTTGATATTTATATTTAAATCTCAAGAATTTTTTTAAAATGAATTAAGTACATATATATTCTTGAACTATATAGGTAAGTGTAAAATCTGCATCATGTAGAAATCTCAGAATGTGCCTGAGGGTGGTAGGCTGTACACGTATTAAAATTATTTTTCTTCACACTGATATCCAGTGCTTAAAAATAGTATCATCTTGCTATTAACCTGCATGAAATCACACCAATATCAATTTAAAAAGACTCCAATTTTTAAACAAGAATAGATATGGGTTACCCCATATCCAAGATATTCGACTTTTAATTTATTCGAATTTTCATTGTGCTCAGATGATTTCTAATTTAAAAAAAAAAACTATTTACTGATAAAACGTCAGAGATACTCAAGCTGTAGAAAGTCAACTATACAATGGCCATAAATAACCTAAAATGACATAATATTTAGGCTACTGAGTTTCAACATCTTTTGTTGAATAAAATATGCATGTACTAAGGAAACTGCATGTACATACATGTATATAATATAACGATACATGCGATTAGTGACTTTTATTATCACAACGTTGCAGATGCTTATATAAATAGTTTTAATTTCACATAGAATATAGACTAAATATAATTAACCATATAATTTTAAAGATGTATTTAACAGCTCACTCATTTTCAGGAATATTTAATCCAAATAGCATGTTACAGGCAACGTTTTCAAAGTGAAGGGGGGGGGGGGGCTCCGAAAAAATCCCGCGTACTATGGGCCTGTGCTACATGTGTACCATCTAACTTTCCAATGATAGAATCTTCTGTAAAAATTCGAAACAAGTCCAAGCAAAGATCAAAGATAGCCCAATTTTTTATATAGCAAAACTATAGATCTATCAAGGATAGATTTTAATTTATTTTTTAATTTTGTGCTATTAAAGTACTATCACTCAAAGTATAGGCAGATGTTAAAGATGGGTCAACAAGAGTAATCAATGAACTTGTCTAGAGATACATTGACGGCCGTTGTTAAACGCAAAGGAAAGCGCGAGATCGGTTGCGGCGGTGGAGCATCACTCCTTCGTCAAAGAATAAAATCCGACATTTAACACTTTATATAGATTTTGAATATAGAGACGTTTTGAAGATAGACTTCATTTTTGTTTCTAGAAATGTTTTTATTTACAAAAATAGTATATTTTCGTGTTTTTAAACTGATTAGACCAATGACCTAGCATCGTTTTAGGTAACTCAGCCCCTCTAGCCCAGTCTAGGGCTTGAGTAAAAAACCTGCACTTGTTATGAAACTGATGTATAGTTCTTCTTCATGTCCGTAGCAAATACTGATACCCAGTCTACATGATCTAAGCGTCACTAGCGAACGGTGCACATACCTGTGCTTGCAAGACCAAGTAGACTAGGTTAACACACGTGCGAAGATCCTTTCAGACGAGCTCGGCAAATCACGTTGCTTTGCCGAGAAGTTACGATTGCAGGTGTTTAACCACATAATAACCATTCCGTTATTTAAAAAAAGAGAAAAAACACACACACAGTTAATGATTAATATTCTCACTCAAAAGAAAATATACGGCAATTAACGAACAATAATCATGACAGTTATATAATTGGTGAAAAGATTTATCACTATCAATCGAAGGATGACCTATATATTTTCGTGAAAAAGACTGAGGAGGCAGCGAGCGTAGGAATATGAAAACTTTTTATTTCCTTTTCTGGGGAAAAGTGATTTTCTTAAAATCTTTTTACGTTAATTTTGTTTTCTTTAACGTATTGAATACACATCATTATTCTTAACATTTGTTGTAATGTTGTATCTACTGATCATGAATGGAACTATTTTCTTCGGAGCAATTGTGTGAAGAGTACCTGACTTTAGTAATATATCTTGAATAGATAATATGCACTGATCGAATATATTAAAAATGACCACCATCAGAACATCCTGAATGACAAATTGACAAGATGGCTGCAGCAGATAAATCAGGTAGCCTCTGTCACCAACAGTACATGATTGTAACTAGTGTCACATCGTGGTGATGGTGTGACACTTTTCATCAGATTACAACACTGGTATGTGTTGGTGGTAAGGTGTAGGAATTGCAGAGATGTTATCGATTGCTCATAGATTCATTGATTGTTTAATCTATTAAATGTATCTAAATGTTGTTTGTAAATTGAGTGTTACATTGTAGTTTGATTAGATTTAACTACAGGAAATCGAGAAAGCTATCATTAATTACATCTGCAACCTTTCAAAGTCCTGATGTTCCCTAAATAATTAAATCATTAGTACAAATGTTCTTGAGTCTAAGAAAATCTTTTTCTTACAATGATGTCTTGGTTCAATAAGGGTATTCTTGCCCCCAGGAAGTTGAGCAGTCATCATGTTTAGAAAGATTTCATTCCTGAGACTCACAACAGACGTTTTGCTGAAAATGCTTTACAATCTCAGGGGTGAGGACTGCAATTATTTTAAATGATATTCAAAATACACTTTTGTTAAAAAAATAAATCTGTGCACAAGTTTAAAGCTCCTTTTCATTCATTTAAAGCCAATTGCAAAGAAAAAATGGCAAAGTCAATTTTATGTCTTTTTTTTCTCTTTCAGTGTCATCAAATTAAGTATGATTTCAATGGATGGAAACCCAACAATTTTACACACAATTACTTTGTGCAACAGGTGTGCGACAGGGATTGAAGACGAACGAGAACTTTTTCACATGACACTTGCTCAGTTTTACTGTACGCGGATGCTCATTTTCCAGAACAAACCACTTAGTCTTCTGTTCTGTCCTAATTGCAGTCACCAAATTGCATGCGATTGCCTTTTTGATGGAAAGCCTTCAAAGTAGAAGCGGTCATAGGTCAAACAATATAGAGTAATTGCAAGGCCTAAAATCTGTCTGTATGCATGTTTTCCTTTTTTGGAAAGTTCCTGGGACAAAAGAGCTTTTTAATGGAGACAACTACATTGTAATCCCACCTAAGTAATAATATAAAGTAATTAAAATCTATGCCCCCTAGAAGGAAAGACCCAAATTAACTAGTTATACTTTTGTCATGAATAGTATTCAATCTGGTAATACATCACTTCACATGAGGTCCAAAATTACTAAAGTAAATATAGTTTTTATACCACCAGGTCTCAGTACAAAAAGGGCTTTTCCAGTGCATTACAATTTATTTTGCATTAGAATTTACTTTGAAAGGACTTCTCTTACTGAGATAAAAATTTACTTGCAGATTCTCTTATCAAGCAGATGTATGTATTTTGAATTTTGGAAAAGACAGGGGTCAGAGTATTAGTTGTGTGCATGTCAATTTTCAAACCAAGCTGTTATAACAGCTTTAAAATTACAAGACAGTGTTAAACTGTGATATTCAAGCATTTGTCTCACTGAACAGTGTTCTGGGATGTTCAAGCATTTGTCTCAGTGAATCTGTTTTTCCTTTAAATCTCCATATATAGTTTTCTGTATCATGCACTGGTGGATTTAGAGCCCCCCTTTTGTGTCCAAAAACATACATGAGATTTATTAAATCAATATTTGGGTGTGGCCCCAGGCCCCACCCTGATCCACAACTGTTCCCCCTTTTTTTTTCAAGAATCCTGGATCCTCCACTGTCAAGAGTGCCTATGATATGAACAAATTGCATTACTTTTTGATATGATGCAAAAAACAGCACTGCATTGCAGATTATAGAACTTTTTAAATCAGGGTCTCTGTAGGCATTTGTATGTTGCTATGTCCAAGATGAACCATGTATGCTCTGTCCTATCTTCACATTATGAACCATTTCAATGTTGCTGTACTTAACATGTGAACCAGAACCACTGGTATGTTGCTATACTCTTCATGGTAACCAGCTATGTTGCCATATTTGTGATGTGAACTAACTATAATGTTCTGTACTCATGTGAACCAATTTTAATGTTGCTGAACACATGAACAAAGCTTTATTTTAGTTTATATTCCAAATTGGAAGCAAAGATAATATCCTTCAACTCACATTGTGAACCAAAAGTTCAATTGAATTAATGTAAGTGTACTAGTATTTATGGTTTGATTAATGATGTTCTGAAGATGAACACTGTGAATTTCAGAAAGGATCTATCATTTGAATAGTTCATTTTTTCTGTGGTGACTATATATAAAAGCCCAACTCATAGAACTATAATGCGTTGATCAATCAGTCACTTAAGCAGTACATATAGCACCTTTTCCTGAAGTTCACCATTTTTGTAAAATTAAGAATATTTATATGAAAAACTTCCATTCATGCCAACATTAAGTCTGAATGGTTAAAAGCTAGACCCAAGAATGAAAAGAAACCATTTATTCTCAGTTTGAAATTATGATATTCATGAATGAAGCTTTTTTGAATTCCTCGTCTTCTGAACAATCGTTACTATAAATAAATCATAGTGGGTTTTTATGGAAGGATATTCAGACATCATTTTTGCCAAGCCTATCTCATTTTGTCTCTATGCCTGATAAATAACAATTTTGATGATGTTAAAAGAAGGGTATACATGTATTGTACTCAACCAGTGAAAGTTTAATCCCTTCCATAGGGGGAAAAAAGTCGGGCATCGAGGAAGTAGGGAGTATTTCAGTTAATGAATGGAGGCGTTCAGGGACTCTCAAAAGGAGTTTTTTCAAGTTCTCTACATTCATGAACTGGTGATGATTGTATCATATTGCACAATATACAATGTACAAAGGGTGACTGGGTATTAAAGTCTGGATTTGGTTTAATTTTGTTTGATAAGTGGTAGGCATTATATTTATGCAATTGTTTGCCTTTTTGGTATCTCTGTACTTATGTAAATTAAAGCCCTCTTGAAATCAAATACTGTGAAATGATATAATATTTCTGCCAAATATTGATGAATAAATCATTTGGTAAGTAAATCATTTTTTAAAAAATATTTATTAAAACCTGAAAAAAAAATATTTGTGAGAATTAAAACAAACATTTTTACATTATAGGCCTTCAACTGTTCAATATTCAGTTTTTCACAAATTAAGTCTTTTAACAGAATGGAGATGGGGATGTAAAGCTAAATAATAAGTAATTATTAACTCTTAATTAATAAGTAAGCTATTTCATTTACAACTAAACAAAAAGAGTACAACTTAAATTACTTATCACATGTCTGATAAAAGAGTCAATGTGTGGATTGATTCAAGCTTTCAGCCTAGGTTAAAGTGAAATATTAACATTCATGGCATTTCCTCAAGTCACCAGACCAAGTTTTCTAGTCAATAAGCATTCCTGTAATAATTGGTAATAGAATGTCACAGATGGCATTTTGTAAGACCTGTAAATGAATGCAGCCACCCACATATTTATCAATACCCAGGGTAATGGTTGCTTAAGAGATCAGCATATCATTTTTTTTTCACATCCATCAAGGACTTCATAAAAACAAAAACAAAAATTACAAACATCTTTATTTTTGTATGTGATGGGCAAAAGATTTCTTCTGCAAGTTTTTTTTTTTATCAACAGACTAAAGATATGGAAATAAAAATTATGGCTACTTGACTCAGATCTAGAGCTTGATAATTTGATCTAAATTTTGCAAATATTTGGATATGCTTTTTCTATAACTAATTTTTCTTGTGTGATTGGATTTAGTTCAAGTTGGAAATCAGCGGGGGGTTTTGTAAACAGTGAAGCAATACCATGGCTCAGGCAGTCTTGGTAATGTGAGGAATGTCTAAGAGATACTTATAAAATAAAAGCAATGGGTCTCTCTTCTTTGTAAATTTCCATCCTCATTGTATTTTAGTATTGTCCATTTTCACTATTTTTGGTTAAGATATCCTTGTATTTTTCTGGGGGGGGGGGGGGGTGTTAGTCTAAGATATAAAGACAACGGAATCATATGAATTTTGGTGTGTATTTTCTTGTATTTTAAAATTAGTGAAATTTTAACAATCCCAGAGAGGAATTATCATTCCTGCTCTTAACCACTTCCTGCCTCAAAAATAACTAAGTATGATCAAAGGTGAATTAAGGTCAAATCAAAGGGAAACACAGAAGGGAAAAACTTTCATTTAAGTTCTTAAGACCGAAGAATTGTGAAGGGTCATAGAGGACTTGAAGGTCACGTGGCGTCTAAATAACCTAGGTAATAACTTTAGTAGAACTCTTTCATGTGGGGGCATAAAGGAGACTTTTCTGTTTACATTCTTTATTAAATGGATACCTGCTATGCATCAACTACCTTAAAATCTAATTAAAAGCAAATCACTGGGTTTTTTTTTCTTTTCTTTTTACTTCATTATGCTGTAACTTAATGAATCTTGAATGAAATAGCTTTATCATTTAAAGTGAATGGAAAATTCAGGGGATGCAATAAAATATCCCTGCAATGTGTTTGTATATATATTCTTTCAGGGTAGTCATAATTCAATCAGTGTGATATATCTAGGGTTCAAACAATTCATCATGAATTTTTTAATTTAAAATTCAAATGGGGTAAATGCACTCTATTTCCATTATGGTAAATACATAATATCATATTAATATTAGGGGAGAAATGTTCCCTTAAAGTCCCTATGGTACAGGTATCAGGTAATGCTATATATATATGTGTGTGTGTGTGTGTGTGTTAAATTACTTCTCTAACTGCAAGTTCACGCTGATGAAATTTCACAATATATACAACTAATTGAAAATCAAGTACAACTGTACTAATTTCCTCAATAAATCATATACATATTCAATTGTAGTCTAAATATAAAAATCTCAGTTAATAACAATTTAATTAATTATGAATTTTATTTCAATCGTTGGTCCATTAAAGTTGATCATCAAATGCACTTCATCAAGGATGTACCAAGTACACCCCCCCCCCCCCCCAATACAGTGTTTTGTGTATTTCAATGTAGATATCAGAAAATGGAACAGATGGGTTAACATCACAGTGGGAAGGGTCAGGTTTCCTGTCATTTTAAAGTCAGTGACCTTCTAACAATGTGGAAGGAATAGAATTAAGTCTGCTCAGCATATTGTTGATCCAAATAGGTCAGAGCCCGACAGCTTACAATTGAGAATCATTTGTTTCCCTTGATTTTGGTTGTGTACATAGGCATAAAGTGCCCATGAAATTCAATATTTACTTGACTATTTATCTCACTTTCAATTATTGAATGATAATTATAGAGTGCAGAATAAAGGCCTTAATCCGAGGAAAATCGCTACATGGGGTGTTTAAATTGGTGGTCCTCTCCTTTTTTGTGTGTGTGCACAGGGTAAAAAAGATCTAATGAAAGAGAAGATATTTTTTTTATTGTGGACATGAATCGATGAATAACGCACCTTTTTTTAATGCTTTCACCTTATTGTGATTGGACGAGGGGATTACATTGAAAATTTTCATTGGCAGCTAAATAACATTTATGAATGTCTATATTGATAAAATTTTCAAGTAGACTGCCAAGTGCATTAGATTTAAATAATTTCTGTACTAAAGATTATCTAACTATGAATTTATATGCTGTTCTTTTGCAAATAAAACTAAAAAAAAAAAAAAGTCAGCTGTTTCATCGATTTTTACAGTTAGTGAGATATAGTCCCATAATTACTTAATCAAAGTAATGAAAATCTGGCTGATATAGAGCTAAAGATGCTAGTTTTTCATACTTATTTAATATAGTATGCTTATGTGATACAGCTGTATCTATATTGGTTGGACAATGTCTACATTACACATGTATATTTTTCATGAACTGTCCAAATTTGACCTATTCTTTAAATTTACCCTTTGGTGAACTACCATAAATGTGACAAATTTTCAAAATTATTATCAGTGATTCAAAATTCAAACATATTATCTGCTCATGTTTCCTGTCCTAGTGCAGGCAGATACAAATATCCCTTGATTATTTTATTAAATCTTTGCTGTTTT